TTGTCTATTTGGATTCTTTTGCGGTTTTACTTAAATTTTAGCATTATTTTTCCTATTTCTGTGAAGAATGTCATTGGCATTTTGATAGACATTGCATTGAATGTGTAGATTACTTTGGGTAATGTGGGCATTTAAAAATATTGTTTTTTCCAATCCATGAATATAAAATATCTTTATCATTATTTGGGTCCTCTTCAATTTCTTTCATCAATGTTTTATGATTTTCATTATAGACATCTTTCACTTCTTTTGTTAAGTTTATACCTAGATATTTTGTTTTATTTGTAGCTATTATGAATGGGATCCAGAAATGCTACTCTTTTTATATGTTGATTTTGTATCCTGCAACTTTACAGGATTGGTCAATTCTAAGTTTTTTTTTTTTTTTTTTTTTTTTGGTGAAGTCTTTAGCGTTTTCTAAATGTAAAATCACATCATCTTCAAGCAAAAACAATTTGCCTATTTCCTTTCCAATTTGGATGAAGGGGCCTAATAACTTTATACACATTGTTAACCAATGTTTTGTTCTCTGTTTTTTGCCTCAGCTTGAGAACCATGTAGTACTCTAACTTCTGAACATGTCTTGATTTTATAACAGGGATTAAATTTCTTCTTATTGGCTTTCCCATTGCAAATCAAGGTTTCAGGTTTATTAACTCCTCTATGTCTATTACTGTTTGTGTTTTCAAGATTCAGTTGATATCACTTCTCTTTTTCTTTTTGTGAGACAATAACCCTGTTCCTTTTCTGGTCATCTCAGTTGAGGTTTGATAAGAAGTAATGGTACATTTTGTATATTTAATTCCTGTTCCACTTATTTTAATATAATATTTATTAATTTTTATTTATGTCTGAAATAAAAGTAAGCTGCATTAATTATACAAAATATTCTGTTTTTAAACTTCAATTAATAGTATATTTACAAAAGTCAGTTATGGAAAGCATAGATGTCAAATGACTAAACTTAAGCTGAATATAAATATAAATTCTAGAATCACCTCGGTACCATGAAACGGCTTTCTCGAATCATTGTCACCTAAAATAGCAGGAGAAAAAGGCTTACCATCTCCTTTAATGTAACATGCTTGCTTTGGGTTTACATTGTAAAGAAATTGCTAACAACAGGCAAGTATTTACATGCAGTGCTGCTGCTGCTGGACTTGCCTCAAAGTGGTGAGAATAAAAATGGCTTAGAAACTATTTCATGCCCATCTCTCCACTGGTCAGTGCAAGCCAAGGGAAACTTGCTGAGTGAAGCTAGAATTTACTTTAGAGACCTTTATTAACTTGCTTTGCTTGTGAACTTGATTTTTCAACATGATAGTGAATCCATCCACTGAGAAGTAACATCATGTGGACATTTTCAGTCTTTTACCAAAAAATTTTACTAAAATTTAAGTGAATTTGCATGAATTTGCAGTACTTGTTATTTGTTAGAGTATCTGTACATTGAGTTTGCACTCGTCATTATAAAATTATCATGAGGAATAGTTTTTGTACAGTCATATCTTGTACAACATTTTGGTCAGCGATGGGCTGCATATATAATGGTGGTCCCGTAAGACCAATAGAGCTGAAAAATTTCTGTCACCAAGTGACATCATAGCCTAGTCTTATAGCATTCTACATTACTCATGTGTTTGTGGTGATGCTGCTGTAAACAAACCTACTGTGCTGCCAATCATTTGAGAGTCTAGTGCATGCAATTATGTACAGCACATTATACTTTGTAATGGTCATAAATGACTGTTACTAGTTTATACTATGTAACTAGTAAATACTAGCATAGTATTTACTATACTATATATTTTATTGTCATTTTAGAGTTTTCTCCTCTACCTAATATTATGCAGCCATCAAAAACGATGAGTTCGTGTCCTTTGCAGGGACATGGATGAACCTGGAAACCATCATTCTCAGCAAACTGACACAAGAGCAGAAAATCAAACACCACATGTTCTCACTCATAGGCGGGTGTTGAACAATGAGAACACATGGACACAGGGAGGGGAACACTACACACTGGGGTCCCTTGGGGGGAAATGGGGGAGGGACGGGGGGTTGGGGAGGTGGGAAGAGATAGCATGGGGAGAAATGACAGATACAGGTGAGGGGAAGGAAGGCAGCAAACCACACTGCCATGTACGTACCTATGCAACAATCTTGCATGTTCTTCACATGTACCCCAAAACCTAAAATGCAATAAAAAAGAAAGAAAAAAAAAGTTAACTGTAAAACGGCCTCAGGCACCTCCTTCAGGAGGTATTGCAGAAGAAGACATTATCATCATAGATAACACAGCTCCATGCATATTATCGCCCCTGAAGACCTTCCAGCTGGACAAGATATGGAGGTGGAAGACATGATATTGATGACCCTGTTTCTGCATAGGCCTGGGCTAGTGTCTATGTATGTCTTAGTTTTCAACAACGTTCAAAAAGTTTAAAAAAAATTGTTTTAAAAAGAAGAAAGCTTATAGAATAAGGATATAACGAAAATATTTTTGTACAGTTTTACAATGTATTTTGTATAAAATATCTTGTATTTGTGTTTCAGCTAGTGATTTCTATTAAAGAATCAAAACGTTTTAAAAAATTAAAAAGTTTATAAAGTAAAATTACAGCAAACTGAGGTTAATTTATCATTGAAGAAAGAAACTATTCTAAATAAATTTAGTGTAAGCATACAGTATTTATAGTCTATTGCAGCATAATGTCTGAGGCCTTCATATTCACTCATCACTCACTCACTCACACAGAACAACTTTCAGTCCTGCAAGCTGAATTCATGATAAGTGCCCTATACAGGTGTACCATTTTTTATCTTTTGCACAATATTTTTATTGTACCTTTCTTATGTTTAGATATACATAAATTCATAAACACTTATCGTTGTGTTAAAATTGCCTACAGCAGGGGTTCCCAACCCCTATGCCACAGACTGCTCTGTGACCTGTTAGGAACTGGGCTTTGCAAGCAAGGAAAGCTTCATCTGTATTTACAGGGGCTCTCCATCACCCACATTACTGCCTGAGCTCTGGCTCCTGTCAGATCAGTGATGGCATTAGATTCCCATAGGAGAATGAACCCTACTGGGAATTGCGCGTGCGAGGGATCTAGTTTGCACACTCCTTGTGAGAATCTAATGCCTGATGATCTATCACTGTCTCCTATCACCCCCAGATGGGACCATCTAGTTGCATGAAAACAAGCTCAGGACTTCCACTGATTTTACATTATGGCGACTTGTATAATTATTTGATTATGTATTAGAATGTAATAATAATAAAGTGCACAATAAATGTAACACACTTGAATCATTCCAGAGCCATCTTCTCTACCCCCTGTCCATGGAAAAATTGTCTTCCAAGAAACTGGTCCCTGCTGCTAAAAAGAGTGGGGACCGCTAGCCCGTAGCATTCAGTATAGTAAAATGCTGTACATGGTTGCAGTCAAGGAACAACTGACTATTCCATGTAGCGTAGCTGTGTAGTAAGCTATACTATCTGGGTATGTACAAGTACACTCGATGATGTTCTCACATCTGCAATGCCTAAGAATGTATCTCTTCAAGTTCTCACTGTGGTTAAGAGATGGATGACTGTTATTTTGTTTTCTATTTCCAATCAGCTAGGAATCACATTCCTGTAACTACTTGATTGGACATTTTTGGTTGTTTGTTCACTAGTATAGCAGTCAGGATTTTAAGAATAATAAATCCATAAATTAGATTAAATATTGGACCATGTTAATGGTTGTGCTATCAGGAATAGTTTAGTGCATGCTGGAGGAAAGTCAGGGAGAAAAAAAGGCTAAAATAACACCTGTGAAGCAAGATGAAAGGGCCTAGAGCTATTTAGCCAGAAATGAATTGTGATATAAAAACTGTCATGTATATGTATCATAATATGACTAATTGTTTGTCTTTGCTGAAATCTGAAAAGAAAAAGTTCAAGGGTAGTATAAGTGATGTATATTTAAGACTGAGAACAAGAGCCATGACAGTTGATGGACAGGCCGTAAGAATGCTTATGATGGGAGACATCTCTTGGGAAGAGAAAAAGCTTTAAATGTAGCAATATGCTCTGTCATGAAGGAGGACAAGACCTGTCTTAAGGCAGAGGGTTTACTAGCTGGCTTCCAAAGGCCTTTCTAGAACCGTAATTCTGAGCCCCTTCTGTTGCTGGCTTCAGATGCTGAGATTGAACTCGACACTGCCTAGTGTCTGCTCTTTTAGGAGCTCCGGCAGCGCCAGAGGAGGCAGTGCCACCAGCAGCGACGACAGACAGCATCTGTTCCAACTGAAGACTTCACTCAAAGGTGAGTCGGGTCAGTGTGGACCTGGGCGCTTCCTTCCCCTCCGGCTGTCACTGGGTCCAGGCACAGAAGCCCTCAGGGATTGGCGACCACCGCACACCCTCCCCGGCTACCAATATAAGCTCTGACAGAGGGATGGCTGGTTAGCCGGTGCTAGAAGGGAGGGACTCGCCACGGAGACGCGCTCCGGGCGGGATGAGTTGCGCCACCGCCACCTAGGTCCCTCTCTAGCTAACCGGCGGGGTAGCCTGGACCCAGGTGCTCCCGGGGTGCGCCTGGCACCCGCCGACCCGGAGCCAGCGTCCCGCTGCGCCCGGTCTCCCTCCAGCTCCGGCCCCCGTGGGAGGGCGCGTGGGATGCAGCGCGGGTCTCTGAGCCTTCCCCAAGCTCCAGCATCCGGAGCCGCCCTACCGGCCCGCGGCAGCCACAGCCTGGGAGGGAGAAAGGAAAGAGGGAGGGCGGCGGGAAAGGCTGGGCGCGGGAGTGGGGAGGGAGCGCGGGGGCGGGAGCCTCTCCTCAGCGGCGCAGCTCACCTCCCTCCGGCGGGCGGCGACTCCGGGCTCCCCCTCGCGCCCTCTCGCCGCGTCTCGCCCCTTCCCGCCCACCGTCCCTGCGGGCGCGGGCGGCGGCGGTGGGCGTGTGCGCGCGTGAAGGACGCCGCCTGTCTCTCGCTCCCGCGTTCGCAGGCGGCGGCGGCGGCGGGCGGCTTCTCGCTCGGGCAGCGGCGGCGGCGGCTTCCGGAGTCCCGCTGCGAAGATGCTCAAAGTCACGGTGCCCTCCTGTTCCTCCGCGTCCTGCTCTTCGGTCACCGCCAGCGCGGCCCCGGGGACCGCGAGCCTCGTCCCGGATTACTGGATCGACGGCTCCAACAGGGATGCGCTGAGCGATTTCTTCGAGGTGGAGTCGGAGCTGGGACGGTAAGGCGCGGGCTCCGGCGGGGGAAGCCCGCGGCGTGCACGGGGGCTTGTCCCTCCAGCGGCGTCGGCTCCGAGGGCGCGGGAGCCAGCCTGCCCGCCCTTCGGTGTTTCTCCGCCTAGTTAGTGTCCGGGGGAGAGCTAACCTTCATTCAGGTGCGGCTCCCGTCCCCGCACCCCACCCGAGCGCCTAGGCCGGTGCAGCTGTAGGATCGGCTCCCTCCTACCCTCCCTCTTCCTCGTAGGCTGCCACTTCCTTTGGGTGACAGCTCCCACCGCACGTGGGCCCTGCTTTCCCAAGTGATGTCTTTGCTCACGATTATAGCTTAACAGAGGGTCCTGTTTGTGGTTATTTTTTGGGGTGGGGGCCGGAGGGTGCCCCTCCAAATCAAGACACATTTTTTAAATTGGATTCCTCCTCGTTCCCCTCATCAAGCTCTCCAAAGCAAGTGACACGAGAAATTAAACTTAAATACTATCTTCCCTGCAGAGTCTTCTCAGGAGTGAAGGGAGAAATGAATCATTTAAGATAGTTGAAGGCAGAATAATGAACTACTGTGGCTTTAAAGAGAAAGCAGCATTTGGGATCCAGGCAGTGGTAATTAGTGCGAATGCTGCTGCTTCTGTTCTTTCATGGATTGGAGTGATTTGTTTAAATTATATATGCAACAGATCATCTCCTTAAGATTGGAGATATGTCCCTTATCCCTCCTCTGAATATCCAACCAGGTAGCACTTTGGCCTTCTGAATGATTCTATATGTTCTCCATTGAAAATTATGTTTTTCTTTCCCTTCCTTTTTTTTGTCTTTTCTTTCTGCTATCCATAGGTAAGGAGACTTGCTTTCAACACTTATTTTAGATCCAGGATCTTTAGTATAGGGAATATCAATGGTTGACAACTTACAGTTTCTGTACTTACTACTTTGCAGTTTCATTTTCCATTCTCTTTTTGCTGCAACTAGTTTTGCTCACAGCCTTTTAATTTTTTTAAAGCCTTTGGAAGATCCGGAGCGGGATTCTGGATGTTGGTACTTACTGGGAAGATGTAATGATTACTGCTCACTCTCCCCGCGATTTGCTACTACTATTGAAGGCTCATTGAATATAGAACATGTGTAAAAAAGACAAACCTCTGAATGAGAATTCAGTGATTTGTCACGGCTAAAAAGGTTTCAAAGTATTTGAGCTGAATAACGTATACATAAACATCCATTTCTGATCACGTTTTTCGGTATTCATCTGAAGATCTGTTGTATGTAGGTTGCAAATGAAAGGATAATGATGCTGATTTTTCTAAGATCCAAAACCTACCTGTTATTAATTTTGTGATATATGACAGTGGAGCCATGTAAACCTCTGAGTAAAGAGTTGATCTACTTAAAATGGTTTACTTGGTGTTTTATAAACTGCCATGTAGTAGAGGAAGTGCCTGATGCTGCTGCAGGGACTGTCCCAGCAGCTTGTGTGCTTTCAGAGTTACATTAACCCTAGATGCCTCAAATAGGCTGACTTATCCACACATGTTGTCTTCACCATCATGAAACTCAAGAAATTCTCTTTGAGAAATGGGGAAAAAAAAACCCTGCCAGTTGTACACACTTATGGGATGGTATCTGCATAGGAAACAACTAAGAAATTTGAAGTTCGGGTTGTTTTTTTTTTTTTTTTTTAGTTCAGAATTAACATGTTGCAGTAAATTTTGGAGGACAAATATTAATCAGTTATACAGAAGCTTCTTGACTTACAATGATGTTATGTCCCAATAAGCCCACCATAAGTTGAAAATATTGGAAGTTGGAAATGCATTTACTGCAGCTAAGCTAACAAATAGCCTAGCTTACCTGAAACATGCTCAGACCACTTAATATTAGCCTACATTCGGGCAAAATCATCTAGCATAAAGCCGATTTTATTTGCTAAATATTGCGTACAGATGGGATTTTGTAGACATGATGAGATATGAAACACAAAACACAATATTCAAAAAACCGGCAACACAGAACACTCTAGAGTTCTGGTTGTTTACCCTCCTGTGGTTAACTGGGAGATGTGGCTAATGGCCGCTGCCCAGCATCGGAGAGAGTATTCTACCACATATTGCTACGTCAGGAAAAGATCAGAATTTGAAGTACGGTTTCTACTAAATGCTATCACTTTCCCACCATCATAAAAGTTGAAAAATTGCAAGTCAAAGCCATCCTGTCAGGAACCCTCTGTCTATACATTACTAAGATTCTTGCTGTATTATTTAGCCTTTTGATTATTGTAAAAGGTCACAGAATTTAACTATGTTAAGTAATAATACAAGCTAAAATCTCTTACTTAGGCTCTATCAGCAGTGATGTGTATTGTTTGGTAAGTTCTCTGTAGATGGCAGCATTGGTGAGGTGCATGCTTACTCTATTTGGCTGAGACTTTGAGAAGTACCACTTCATTATCAGAAATTTTTAAGTAAACCTAAAACATAAAGCAACTACTATTCCAGATATAATGATTAAGAATTAGCAGAGCCAGAGAATGCAGCAGAATGATCATTTTAAGTATTGGCTGAGTAACTAAAGTCTTCTTTCTTCCTGCACTAGTGATGAAGTTGAACTCAGGTCATTAGTTTCAAGCCTTACTCTCAGCTTTGGGCCAAATCTGTCTGCCAGTGTGACTCTAATTCATTAGCAACGCAGTTGTCATTAATATGCTAAGAGAACAGTGCTTCCGATGTTATATGTTTCTCTTGTGGTTAGCTCTAGAAAGTAGATCTCCACCAGAATTAGTGTTTTGTAGGTTCCTTCATTACAATTGTCTTTTGTAAAGTAATGACTCCTGATTGCAAGAAGATTGGACAGTGATCTTTGGGGCAATACACCCTGAGGATGTGTCTGGGAACTCAAGGGGAGCTAAATTCCCAAGGCTATATCCACCTGAAGCTCTGGATAGTGCTTGTGAAGGCAGGTGCTGGCAGCACTGATCCACATGCAGCCACTGAGACCAAGACAGATGTGATTACTTTCTTTTGATGGAGAGGACATAGGGTAGAGGGGTTATTTAAGAGTATCAGGCAAACTAATTTTCCTAAAATCACATTTGAAAACACTGTTTTGTTCATAGAGTTGGTCCTAAAGTTTACAAAAATGGTGATACACACACACATTCAATTCTATTTAAAAATATCAATTAGCCATAATCCTATTCAGGGCTCCATATCCTCGAGAGCAGTTGGTCTTATGCCCAGTGATTTGAGAAACTGGCATTTGAAAGGCTTTTCTGAGGGAGAAGGGAGCTGCCTCTGGTCCAGACCTGCACTGTGGTTTGGCACATGGAATGACAGAAAGTGGTCTGGCCCACTTGGTGTTGCAGATTTGGTCTGTGTATGCAAATCCATGTCCTGTTTTTCAGTTGTCCCACCTTTAGTTTCTCTCTGTTGTTCCAGGTTGAAAGAAAGTTTATAACAAAACCAGATGTATTCCCAGACATACAAATTGAAGGAAGCCAAACCAAATGACAGATAATTAGGACAAGAGAAGAATGTGGTAAAATATTTTGGAGCCTTTTTTATTTTATTTTAGTTCCCATTCCACTTACTGTAGTTTCTTTAGGCTAGGGACTTTGCATACTCCTCCCCACTACAATGTAATTGTAAATAATGCATTTATGTGTCATTTATACATAATTGTGTGTATACATTTATACTTTTAAATACATTTGTGTGTCAACCCAATTAAACTAATTATATAGGGTCTCTTGCTATACGCATTATTGCTTAGGAACCAAATAGATTTCAATAGTAAGGGGTGTTTGTGTGTATGTGTGTGTGAAACAGAAACAATGTTATAAAACAATGTTTATTCTTCTTACCAGCAATGTACTTTAATATGTTATATTCTATGCTGTTTGATTTTATCTATTTCATTAAAAAAATTGGCTGAACTCGTGATTTCACATCCCACTAATGGGTTGTGACTCAGTTTGAAAAGTGCTGTTTTAGGCTATAAATCTGTGTGTGACAGATTAAGCTATGAGGCAGAGTCCTTTAAAGAAATTCCCTGCAGACCATTTGGCAACATTGGGTGGTATCTTTTCGGTGCAGCTCTCTAGAGAAAAATTCTCCTATCTTTGCCTCCAGGTCATTATTGATTTTCCCCTTCCAAATATTTTGGAAAAACTCTGGTGTCTCCCCAAGATCTCCTGGGCACACAGTAATCTGAACTGGCTGAGGGTTCCAGGGGCTGTGTTGAGAAGGAACTCAGAGGCCAAGAAGTGGCATATTCTACATGGTAATGCATACTCTGGCCTCGGGTCATGGTGAGCAAATGCTTTCTATAAGGAAACACAAAAGTGTGCATTTTCTGAGAGGGGCTTCAACCAATGCCCTTGGCTTGTCTTAGTCCTCTTGACTTTGGTTGATATAACATGATGTCTTAGACTGGGTGGCTTAAACAACAGACATGCATTTCTCACAGCTTTGGAGGCTAGGAATTCCAAGATCAAGGTCCCAGCCAATGCATTTCCTCAGTTAGGGCCCCCTTTGTGTCTTGCAGATGGCTGCCTTCTCACTGTGTTATCACAAGGCAGAGAGGACGAGAGAAAGAGAGGGGAAGAGAGAGAGAAACCAAGTTCTCTGGTGCCTCTTTTTATAAGAGTACTGATCCCATGACGAAGGCTTTACCCACCTAACCTAATCCCAAGCATAATTACCTCCTCAAAACCCCACCTATGAATACCATCATATTGGGGTTGGGATAAGGCTTCAACATGTGAATTTTGAGGGGACACAATTCCATCCACAGCATGGCTGGTGAAGAAACAGAGTCTCCTTTTCTTTAGGTCCATCCATTTCCTAAACCATTTTCTTGGCCAGAGCTTCACTTTGGTTCTACCCTGACACTGTACTTTCGGGCCCCACAGCCTATGGGGTAGGTGTACTGCTGGCTGCTGATCTCCTGCGACACAGACTGCCCTTAGAAATTTCAGCTCTTGGGGGTGGGTTTTTTTTTTTTTTAATCTAAC